GCAAAAGCTTCATCCGCAATCTCCGTCACTGAGTCCGGGATGGTCACACTTGCCAACGAGCTGCATCCTTCAAACGCTTAAGAGCCAATCTCTGTCACTGAGTCCGGGATGGTCACACTAGCCAACGAGCTGCAATGTGCGAAGGCTCCACGCCAAATCTCGGTCACTGAGTTGGGGATGATCACACTTGCAAGATTTCCGCATTGACTGAATGCATGGTGGACAATTTCAGAGGTGCCACTTGGGATTTGAACTACGAAAAAAGAGTTCAAGTCAATCTCATCGCAAAACTGGGCAAGCTCACCTTTGTGGGAGCACGTCACAGTGTTGCGTCTCAGAATTACGGTCACATCCGATTCTGGACAAAGGCCTGCATCTGCAGCTGTCTCGTCGTTCGTCAGCACTCTGCTCGGCCCAACGACAATGTCCACCCGGGTTGTTTTACGCGTGAGTTCATCATCCCAAAGCTGGTGATCCTTGATCCGCTCCTTGAGTTCCCGACCGGTGATGTCTGGCATGACTTCAAGACTCATTGTTTCACCGTTCAGCTGTCGAAATGAAACCTTCACCATGGCTGCCGTTGAAACTCTATACAAAGATCGATGGATGGCCCTGAGATTCTTCTTTACCCCTCTAAAGAAAGAAGACTTGATCCGAAACCTTATAGAGTTAGAGATCGCCATCACGTGACATACTCGAGTTGGGGAGGGTCATAGCGAGAAAAGAACCCTCTTCTTTTAGGCGTGAGATGTCTTCAGAGGTTCTGTTCAGAAAGTGTTGAGTGAGTGGCCTTTCCCTTCACAGCCTGTCTTTCAAAAAACATTCCCGTCTCAATGCAACTCTCTCCTCTCCCAGCCTCGTTGTGACCTGCGGCTCCAGCAACTCGGCAGACCACCTGCTCTCTGCAACACGAGGCAAAACACGGCGAAGCGATCCGGACGGGTCAGTGTCGGCGGGAAAGTTCCGGGCCAATCAGCGGGGAAGTTCGCTTGTGTTGAAACCGCCCATCTTAGATTTGACGTCTTTGGTCCGGAACAGTCTCTGTTCAGAAACTGTGCATCACCTGTCCCTCTAGTTCGAGAAACATGTTGGCCCTCTTCCAGGACTCACCAAATCAGTTCAACAAAACTTCAGGTGTCCAAATTCCGTGACTCGGCCCTGTGGAATTTATAAAATCCCACCAGGTGCTTTTGAAGGTGCCACTACCTACTCGTGATGTTCTGCGCCCCTGGCCGGCCAGCAAGGTCTTTAAAGTAACTAATTTCCAAAAAACCACCCGAGCATGACCCAGTGATCCTGGTGAATTCAAAACCTCTTGATGGTGTGTTTCTTTCCACCCGCAGAGTTCGCTCCGATTTTGGGATTCCAGATCTTCTTCGGATGTCATCATGTCCTCCAAAAGTGAACAGGAACGTAACAAAAAGGGTGACTCACTTGAGTGTCAAGTCAACACTTAAAGTGAAGCTCGGAACTTGTATGTTTAACTCATGAAAATTCCACCTGCAAGTCATGACTACCACCTACAACCACTACCAGGTGGGGGTCACATGAGTCATTTTCCTGGACCACACCACAAAGCAACATAGAAATTCATCGACAAAATATGACAAAATTCATATTTCCGCCATGCAACTTGTGAAAGGACATGCCCAGAATTCTGTATCCAAACGGTGGAGCAAACCCGCTTTGCTCACCCCCCAAAAGCGGCTTCGCACTTGGAGCAGCTTCAGGGCCTACAGAGCTGGAAATCCGCTGTCAGCCTGTGCAACCCCCAACCAAGCTATTATACTTACCATCAAAAACCGGATTTCTTGCGATGTTCACCGTTCTGCGAAATCCGTGGAAGACCTCTGACATCCTCTGACCCTCGTCGCCCCCCCGAGTCGCTCTCATTGCCAAGTCGCTGCTCGGAGCGGAGAATCCTCTCGCGTGGTGCCGAACCGGCACTGCTTGCAGTTGCCTGTTGAGACGAAGCGGAAGCCGAATCGGGTTGCAAAAGCCGATTGGGAAATGTGAAGATCTATATCTATATATATATATATACTTCTCTAGACTCTCTGTGAGGGGGAAGACCCAGGTCTTTTCCACTTGTGACAGTTCGCCTCACTTCGAGTGAGCGACCTAAGTGAGTTCAACCTGGAGACTTCAGCGACCGTCCACTGCGGTGGACTGGTGGCCCGGTGCTTAGCTCTGCATGGACCGAACCAGCTTTGGGGGGTCTTTCACCGAAGTGACTCACATGGAAGTGGATGGCCCACCCTGTTGGTGGAAAGTATAGTCTTCCGAAAGAGGTGTTTGGTTTGATATCCTTTTCGTTTCTTTTTACACTTCCATGTTAAACGAGCTAAGAGTCAGGTAAAAAACTATGATACGAGTACTTCTCAGTCGGCTCTCCGTGAGGGGGAAGACCCAGGTCTTTTCCCACGGTTCAGAATGTGACAGTTCGCCTGCCTCGCTTCGAGTGAGCGGCCTTTTGCCAAGTGACTTCACTCACTTCGGGGAGTTTCTGCCTCGTTCACTTCCCCAGAAACCTCGGGAAACATGTGTTTGGAAGCAGAGTGTATTCCTCGAAACTCATGGTGGGTTGGTGTCTTCCGGCGTGGCGGCTTAGGACAGGATTTGGAGACGGACGTCCGTGGTCGGTTCTCGTAGACCGGTCGTGGAGAACCCTTCGAGCTCGCCACATCGAAGCCACCAAGCCAAGCACCTTACCTTTCATGGAGTAGCTGAAAGATGCTGAGAATCGGTTGGACAGAAGGTGAAATGCTCCAACTTGCGTCAAAGGTCGACCAATCATGAAGGCACTTCGTTCTTTGCCATGATTTGCAGCAAGTTTGCTTCACTAAGGCTCTCAGCGACGGCGGCCACGGCTGCGATGTGAAGATCGCCACCGTTGTTTCGGACACACCCAGCCATTCTGAAACCACCAGTACTCGCACTCTTGACATTCACATTCTTTTGCCAGAACCCGTTTGCAGCCACTGATAGCGTTGATATCTAACCTGACCCGAGTGATGGGCACTGCCAAAGTCAAAGCACAGCAATTGGTAAAAGCTAATTCCCCAATGTCGACCACGGAGTCGGGGATGATCACACTTGCCAACGACCTGCAATCAGCAAAGGCTCTATTCCCAATCTCTGTCACGGAGTCGGCGATGGTCACACTCGCCAGCGAGCTGCACCCCATGAAGGCTCTAAACCCAATACATTTGACTGAGTTGGGGATGGTCACACTTGCCAGTGAACTGCAGGATTCAAAGGCTCT